AGCGCTGTGTGGTGTCTTGGCCCAGCTGTCCATCCCTACTGTGTGCAGAAGCGCTGTATGGTGTCTTGGCCCAGCTGTCCATTCCTACTGTGTGCAGAAGCGCTGTGTGGTGTCTTGGCCTCTCTGTCCATCCCTACTGTGTGTGGAAGCGCTGTGTGGTGTCTTGGCCTCTCTGTCTATCCCTACTATGTGCGGAAGCGCTGTGTGGTGTCTTGGCCTCTCTGTCCATCCCTACTGTGTGAGGAAGCACTGTGTGGTGTCTCGACCCAGCTGTCCATCCCTACTGTGTGAGGAAACACCGTGCGGTGTCTTGGCCCAGCTGTCAATCCCTGCGGTGTGATCCATTGCTTTTCTCCCAACTGACATGCTGTTTAATTAGGATGAATCCCAGATGTCTGCAGAAGAAGTGGAGGAGCACGGACGGATTCCAGACCCAGATGACTTCGTGCCACCCGTGCCTCCCCCGTCCTACTTTGCTACATTTTACTCCTGCACACCTCGGCTGAACCGCAGGTACCATTCATTCCTAAGCCCGCTGGGGTCTCCGTGCTACGTTCCGCATTCAGACTTGTTGGTCTCCGGAATGCCCAGCCTGAGCTCCACTTCTCCAAAATCCAGACAGATTGTCCTGGAGGGTTGTTTTCTTCCCTTTTGTTTCTCTCTGATAAGCCAGGTGACTCCAAAGATAAGTCCAACCTTGACCCAGAGATATACTTTTTCAATTTCCATTAGCTTCCTAGGGAAAATGGACACCCAGGGAGATAACAGCTGTAATTTGACATGATTGAGAATTTCTGTTGCCCTGGAAATGTGCCCGGTTAGGTAAAATCGATGTTTCATTATAACACCATCAGCAGGTCTCAGCAGTCATGAAATTCTTTGCAGGCACTAAGAAAAAAATATTAATTGCATCTCTCTGGCTTAGAAAAAATGGGTATCATGTTTTTTTCTTTTTCATTTTCAAATTCCAGCTCAAATTTTGACTGTTTTCTTAAATCTATTTCTAGAATGAAATATGCATTTGTCTGGTTGCTAGTGATTTCTAGAGTTGAACCTTTAAAGAATAATCTCATTTATCCATTCCCCAAACACTATCAATCCTCTACTGCTTGCTTAGTGCCATGCTGGATTATAGAATGAGTCAGAGACATTTCCTTTGCTTCCAGGAGAGGAGCTCAGTCTAGATCACTAATGCGACTGATAGGACCAGAGTACTCAGTGTCTAGAGGTTTCCCAAACCCAGAATAGCCAACTGGGTTACCAAGACAGCACTGGCATCCCTAGAGAACTGACCTTATGCTGAGTTTAAAGGTTAAATCCTAAAGGAAAAGAGACTACAGGAAAAAATGAACATCTTTAGCTTAATATTTGGGATCATGCATGTGTATTTTTGAATATCTGTAGTACATTTAGAGTTGAGGACAGCTATGCATGCATTTGAAATAGGTTCCTCCTAAGCATTGCTAATGTTCTTTGAGTCTCACCTTGCCCCTTCTGGAACACCTGCCCAGGCAGAGACAGAGATGGTCATGAAGCTGGGGGAGGGGCTATCAGCTGGGCGCACAGATGTCCATGTTGGGTCTAGAAGAGCAAGTCTTTTGTTTGCAGAGTGGCCTGCTGGCATTGCAGAGCATGGGGTCCAGGCTGGGATGATTCTGATTCTTCTAGAAAATAAGAGGAGAACTACAGATGTCAAAGACGAACAGCAACAAAACGCAGGCTCTCTGCAGTCCATCTCTGGCTTTAGAATCTCCCAAGCTGATTCTTCTAGGGCTGAGTTACAAAGGATCCCAGAGAAAATAGTTTTCCAGGAAATAACAGTCTTGTTCGTCTCTACCTTCGGCAGTGTTCTGTTGCTGCGAAGAGACACCATGACCACGGCAACTCATAAAGGAAAGCATTTAACTGGGGCTGGCTTACAGTTTCAGAGGTTCAGTCCATCATCATCATCGTGGGAAGCCTGGTGGCAGGCAGGTAGACATGGTGCTGGAGAGGTATGAGGGTTCGACATCTGGATCTGTAGTCAGCAGGGAGAGAGAAAGCCACTGGGCCTCACTTGGGCCCTTGAAGTCTTAAAGCACAACCTCAGGGACACTTCCTCCAACAAGACTACATCTACTCCAGAAAGGCCACAGCTCCTAATCCCTCTCAAGTAGTGCCAGTCCCTGATGAATCAGCGTTTTTGAGACCATGGGGGCCGTTCCTAGTCAAACCGCCATGGTCCCCATGAACTCTTACTTGCCCAAGTGATGTAAGGTAAGGAGTGTCTTCCCTGGAGAGAGACTTTCCTTCGGTACTGACTTTGAGGTGTGGTCCATCAGAATGCAGCATCAGTGGTCATCATAAGAGTCATTTGTTTGGTGATCACATTGTGTAAAATGCCCTCCCCAACTTCTGGGTTTTCTTCTGGAAGAGATTCTGTGGTCGTTTAGTATCTAAGGTGAAAGCCTGCTCTCCTGACCCTGGTTCCTGGAAATCCCGTGCCTTACCTCTGTAGATACAATGGTAGCCAATGGGCTAGAAAGATCTTTACCTCTGTGGATGCAATGGTCGTCACTGGGTTGGGAATGCCAAAAACTGTCATAACAGACAGGGCAAACAGTGCTGGGGGTAGTCACGCTACAGGCAAGGGGTGCAGCAGTCCTCTGCCTTTGCTGAAGGGACAAAGGTTTATAAGTGCTGGAACTACCATGCTAGGAGTTGTGCTGATTAAAGGGTGAAGACTGGCCCGCCCTCTAGGGAGAAAGTAGGTCTCCCTGATTCAAACAGCTAGGCTTTCTTCACTAAGTCTAGGAAGGGTCTAGTTTCCTGGAGCCACTCAGCAGTTGGAGTCTTACACAGCATGAGCTAGATAGGAGAGTTGGGATAAAATCCATGCCCAAGTCCTTGTCCCGGGAGAATGCCCACTCATGACAATACCCTCCAGCCAGCCCAGGAAGAGTCTTTCATGGGATTCCGTTGTGAAAATGATGCTTGACACTTTAAACACCCACCCTGGGAACCTCCCAAGTTAGGTGCCAATAGAAAAATCTCAACTCTTTCCTTCCAGGGCAGCATAATGGGCACAGGAATAAAATGAATTTTAGATCCGGTTACTGCCTCTCCTTCTCAACATCAGTCTCTGAAATGTGCCTGGCCTTGAGTCTTTCTTTTCACCAACTTCAATAAGATTCCCCTTTCTTTTCCAAGAACAGACATTGTTATGGGGGGATTGTTTGTTTACATTCTCTAATACAGCCTGAGTACAGGGTTCTCTGCTTTTACTTTTTTTTTAACCTTTTTATACTTTTTAATTACTTCAAAAAATTCAGTTCCCTGTTTTCTAGTGTCTTTTCTTCTTTTGATTATTTGCTGTAACTATTGGCAGGGAATCTAATGAGTTTTGTTTTTTATTTTGTTGTCAAGGGTCCCTCAACTATAGGAAAAGCAACAGACAACTGTGTGTGTGTTGGGTGGCGGGGGGGGGGCGGGGGTCTCTGCAAACACCGTGGCAAGGAGAGTGTTGATCCATGTGGGGCAAGAAGGAAGTCCGTTCACCATGACTCAGTACCAGGTGTTGGTTCCAACTTCTAGAGTCTGACCCCAGGCTGTTTATTTTAGGCATACTGAAGTTTAGTACAATCTGGAGAATGTTTCCTGGTGTAACGCAATCCCGTGTGTACAGTAGAGATTAAGGTATAATTATATTGAAACTCTTTCGAAGTATAATCAGTTCTCCCCTAAATGGGTTCTTTTTTTAAAGGTTTTTTTTTATGTATTTTATGTATGTAAGCGCTCTGTCTGCATGCTAGAAGCGGGCATTGGATCTCTTTATAGATGATTGTGAGACTCCATGTGATTGCTGGAGATTGAATTGAGGACCTCTTGAAGGGCAGCTAGTGCTCTTAGCCACTGAGTCACCTATCCAGCCCCTAGATGGGTTCTATGTATAGAGCAAATGATCTGGTGTGGTCTCTGTCATATAGATAGTGCAGAGGTCACCCGGGCTATTGTGGTGGTTTGACAAGGAATGGCTCCCATAGACTCATGTGTTTGAATGCTTGGCCCATAGGGAATGGCACTTTTAGGAGGGGTGATCTTGTTGGAGTAAGTGTGGCCTTGTATGAGGAAGTGTGTCACTCAAAGGTGAGCTTTGCGGCCCCATATGCTTTAACTATGCCCAGCGGTTTCCTTCTGCTGCCTGCGGATCAAGACATAGAACTCTCAGCTCTTTCTCTAGCACCGTGTCTGCCCGCATGCCGCCATACTTCTGCCATGATGATAATAGACTGAACCTCTGAAACTGTAAGCCAGCCCCAGTTAAAGAGTTGTCATGGTGTCTCTTCACAGCAATAAAATCCTAACTAAGGAAGCTATTAGCCATCTCCAGTCTTGTTTGTAAGAGTCTGGGGGAGCCAGATGTGGCCGTGGTCATACAGATAGCACCGAGGAAACCAAGGCTTTTAGCCAGCTCCATTCACTGGTCATACATCTCGTGCTTTAAAGAGACAACCTTGCATGTTTAACATTTCTGGGTTTCCTAGTGCTTGTCTGTGAGCACAGGGACCTTGTGCCCTCTACAAACATCAAAGAGACTATTCCTTAAGAAGTAATTAGAGGGAAAAGCACCTAACTTAACTGGGAGAAAGGCACTGGGAAAGGGACACTGAGTAATTCTGTAAAGTGGAGGCATCATACGCTTGCCTTGCTAACTGTGGCGGATGCTACCTTCTAAGGAACCGCACTCATCCCCAGTTAGAGACTGGAAGTGTTGGAACAAGAGAAGGGTGATGAAGAACAGAGTGGAAATGGTTGATGCCAGCAGGATGGGTCGGGGGAGGAAGCGGAGCACCAGGAGAGATGAACAGGAAACCAGCAGCTGGTTCGGGCGTGTTCACATCACATAGAGTAACTGTCTCAAGTCAATCTCCATATCTTGGTAATTGTGAGACTCTCTGAGTTTCTCTGTCACAGTTATCAGTTCGCTGTGGCTTTGTTGTTGGGAGTGGGGTGCCCATATTCCAAAGGACATATTCCAAAGTTTGTCAACCCAGCCACATTTGCTAGATCAAGTTCAGAGAGAGAGAAAATGATGCCAGCCTCAATCCACCTCTTTCACTGACATTCCTCTGACTGTTTTTAAATTTTATCTAGTCCCTCACATCCGGCACAGTGCATCGTTAGCCTGGGAGAGTAGGATACCTCCCTGAGGAAGATGTGGGAGTCACTTTGTGGTTCTTTCTGTTGGCGCCTGTTTTGGCTTTAAGCTGTGGCATTGCTCAACTTTTGTTTGAAATGAATTCCTCTTAAATAATTAGCAGTGAAGTCCTCTCATGAATCAGACATTAAGGAAACCAAGGCAAGCAGCTTTCTCTGTGGACTAATAAGGAGAGGACCAAGACGTCTCTCATGCTTAGCTGCTTTGACTGTTAATGACTCAGTGGCCTTCAGCGTATCCATTGCACTGTGCAACCTCTTCCTCTCTCTTGTTCTAAAACATACACTGACATAAACAGTCATCCCCCAGTCTCCTTCCCCCAAGCCTGGCGGTCACCTGTGCTTTCTGTCGCTGTGGACTATCGTTTGTGTTTTCACTGGTGTATTTAAATGAAAAAAAAAAGGCATTTAATTTTATACTCTGTCACTTGCCTAAGGACCCCCTACGGACAGCTTGGATGGCTAGCCCTCTTCTGGACTGAGCCACTGTGAGTGGTTTTCCTCCCAGCCTAGAGGCAAAGGCAGAGGGTCCAGTTGTAGGGGCCAGTGTGCAGAGTGCGCCTCCTGACGCCCAGGTGCTTTCTCTAGGATGGTTGGTTCTGATGTTATCCCACTGCCACACATCTATGGAGCACGGATCAAGGGTGTGGAAGTGTTCTGTCCTCTGGATCCCCCACCTCCGTATGAAGCTGTGGTGAGCCAGATTGACCAGGAGCAGGTATGTCCAGAGGAAACAGGTGCCCTTACATCATCTGAGGAGTTTACTGGGGTCCTCTGAACAGTGATTTGAGCATCACAAAAAAATAAATAAATCTTTCTCCCTTCCTCTGTGATATAGGAGTCTTCATTCCAAAGGCCAGAAGGACCAGAAGCTGTTGGGAGCCCATTGGAGTCAGTTTGCACACAATTAACTCAAGGTAGTACACGTCTTCACTGCCCCAAGTCATAATTCAATAGATTAGAACATCGGTTCCATGTTCTGACCAGTGTTTTGATAGAGGTAAGGTATTCTTGGAGCAAATGGTTCAGCCCACATCCTCTTGTCAGGGCCAAAATCCTGTCAACGCTTAGGGCTTAGAAGTAAGACCTAAAATGTGGACAGGGAGAAGAAAAAATATACTGAAATAAAGATAAACACAAAATCTCTTTTATGAATAATCAACTATCCTTAGGAACCCATGGGATAGAGTAGAGGTTAATTTATGATTCCTGTGTTTCTTCATCTATTTTTTTTTTGTTCTGTGGAAATGAACCAGGCTCCTTCGAAGGAACACGAGTTTCATGCCTTGCAGTGTGTGTTCGCCCTGTCATTCACAACCAAGGCTTTTACTGCCCAGAGAATTAGAATTTTTTAGCTCGGTGGCCCATGCTAGAGTCAATTTACATCTATCCTTGTAATTTAAGGACACCGTTGTCCCAGCTTTCTGCCTTTGGGGAGGTTTTAGATGGCCTAGAGAACTGTCCACTGGCACAGAGCTGCGGACGGCAATAACTAATGGATCAACTTTCTGCCGTTTCCAATGGAGGCAACTTCTCAGCAGTGCTCTTTGGAGCGTTTTTCTGTTCCCCTTACCCTTGGGAGGGGGCAGACTGGGTTTCTGCCACTGAGCTACAACCCTACCTTGAGAAGAATTATAAAACTGCATGTTTGTGGTTCTTATTTATTTATAAAAGGACTTTTCTAATCAGAACCTCAGCTTTCCAATTGATGTAGCTGCGTTTCCTGAGCAGGGATCACCCGATCTAGTGTGATTTTCTGCTTCATTTTACAGCCACTGGTTCCTTTGCTGGACTGTTGAGAGTGTCCCAACTTGGGTATGGTCTGGGCCAGGCAGATGGTCATCTGCTAGCTTTGGGTAGCACCCTCCTCACCCGTGTAGGTAGCACCTCCCTGAAGAGCCAGATGCTGTGAGAAACTCAGGTGCTCCTGGAGACTGCATCAGGATGCCCCAGTGAGAAAGATTCTGAACACCCCTAGGAAACAAACCAAACTGGTGTGCTTGCATGGCTTCTTAATTTTTCCCTTTGGCCTTATAGTTGTCCTTGTTTGCTTGTTTTAAGTGCGGCAGGGTGATCTGAAGATGAAGGTTTTGCCATGGTGCTGGGAATGAAAAACTGACTGGGCTGCCAGCCTAAATAAATGTTATTAATTTTATTACTGTTGCCCTGGCAGGTTTGGGCCCGCAGGTGTTTCCTGGCCAACATTTTGAAGGCCGCAGCTGTTGAAATAACGTGTTTCTTTTATTTTTATTATTTTTTTTTTTTTAAAAAAAATCAGGTGGGGTTCTACCTAACACAGCTGGTGAAGAAAACACACCTGCACCAACTCCTCTTTCCAACCTGGTACAACCTCCCAGAAGCCGGCGGGCCCTCCCACCCCTGAGGACAAGGTCGAAGAGCGACCCTTTGCTTCACCATTCAGAGGAGAGAGGTGATGTCATTCCCCAGGTCTTTGGTAGATAGACTACTGTGCTTATTTGATTGGTGCTAAGTATTGTTCAGAGGGGCCAGATACAATCAGATGGCTCTTGCTAGCTGAGCCCTGCAAATTTAAATGGTATCTTGAGGGAGGTTAAGAGACCACGGGAAAATAAGATATTTTACGTTTCACATTTGGAAAATACATGTGGTATGTCTTTAAAATTAGAAAAGACTCATTTCTTTGTGTGTCTCAAGGGAGGGTGGGTGCACTATGGTGCATAGATGGAGGTGGAGGGACAACTTGTATGGGCGAGTTCCCTTCTACCACATGGGTTCTGGGGATCTTCTCAGACTGCCATGTGGGAGGCAAGTGTCTTTAGCTGAGGAGCCATCTTACCGGCCCTGGCACTTGGTTTTAGGCTGGTAGAGTGTGTTCCTGAAGTCATCGGCAATAGCATTTGGTTGCACATGCTGCTATGCTGGGCATAACTGCAAGATTATTACCACATCCTGATTCCTAGCTGCTGGCAGCCTGTGAGACCAGTCAAGGGGCATATGTCTTTACTCTTTGGCTCCATGATCTTGTATTAGTTCGCTTTTTTTCCCCTGTGTTTGAGTAGTCTTAATTATTGAGATCTAACCATGTCTTTAAAACTTTGGATATAGTAAAACATGTTCATGTATTTTATCTCCCTCCCTCTTGTTTTGGGGTTTGTTTGAGTATAGATAGATGTTGAATAACTTGAAAATTTCAAAATAATATCGCTAAGCCTTTTTTGAATATATGAATACCTTAATGTTTATAAACATCTCTCATTATAGAAAGGTATATAAAAATAAAGGAAACAAAGGAATAGAGTGAACAGCTTTTGTAATTTAGCCAGCGGGGCCTCTTTGAGGAATTAATCTAGCATTTACTCTCTGCTCTTCGGGAACTCTGTGCAGGTAATTGGACCTCCTCTAACCTTGCTCTCTTGGGTCCTGTCTGGCCCTTGTGGTCTCTCTGTCCCTCTGACAGTGAGTGTCATTTGTCACAGCTCTGACTGACCATATGGAAGCCACAGAGGACACTTCTCTTGTCTCTGCAGCAGCTTCCAGGAGGGAAGGAAGCTCCACCTCCTGAGACTAGCTGTGCGCCTCTGCAGACCAGTAGGCTTGGCAGCCTGGCCTCTGGTTCCAAACCCCACCTTCATTGTGGATCTCCCATATCCTACCTGGCAAGTTGAGCCTTCGAGCTGGCTGTGTTCCAGCTTCCAGGAGCATTGAACTGTTGGCACAGCAGATGGAGACCTTCCTCGCTCCCCTTTGCCTTCTGCAGTCCTGTGGAGGAAGGGACATTATCTATTCCTTTGGCTTGTTTTGTTGGGGAAGGCACCAAGTTGCCTTCATTGAGAGAGTGTGAACCCCATTCAGTCACCCCACAGCTTTAGGTGTGTTTCTGGGTGTCTTGAAGACACGTTGTCTATAACATGCACTTGGCAAGCTGGAAGGACAGCTTCTACCTCTGGTTCAAAACTCCTGTTACCTTTCTCCAGAGCCTTCCTTTCCTCCGCCTGCCCTTCCACCCTCTGCTTCCTGCTTCCCTCAGTATCTAAATCCCCACTTATGAGGCCTTTACAGATCCAGGTTGACAGCTGTGTGCCCTGAAGTCTTCTGGACACATGGCGATCAGATCTGAGGATTCCTCTCTTCACCCCATTCATGGTGAAGCAGCTTCCTGCCAGTCTTTATACCTTTATCGATGGCGGCACCTTCGGAAATTAGAACTGCGGTGGATTTTTAGACCTTCCTTTGCCTTCTGGAGTGATGTTGACTTTCTGCACCCACGTTTTATGTACTAGCCATAGGTCTGCCTCCTAGCTGTGGTGTGAGCCTCGGCAATAGAAGGCAGTACAGTGCCCTTGAGGATGTTCAGGACGGAGGTACTGTGGCAGTAAACATTCTGCCCATCCTTCAAGTCTCCCATCAGCCCCTCCTCTCTTTGACCACTCTGTATCTTCTATATCCCCGACATTCCGTCATGGGTCCGCCATCTTTCCTCTGCTTGGCCATCCATTCCTATCTTCCTGCCGTACCCCATGAAACACATTCCACCGTGGCGTGCACCATGAATTCTGTGCTGTGTCGTCCGTCTTTGCCTTGGGAATGTGTATGGGCCGTGGTCCAGCATCTCGGGACATAGCCTATTGGAAGTACGCTTCACACAATAGGCTTGTGTAGGTTTCATTGTCCTTCCTTTCTTTCCTTCTTCAAGATGAAGGTGAGAAGTGCATGCATGACCTCAGATATCTGCTAGATGTTGTTGTCTACGCAGAGATTTGTGGCTGGTGTTCGCAGGGGGCTTGGCCAGTGGTAACTTGTTATTTACTTCTGTTCACAGCTACCCCAGTGCTCAGCTGCGAAGCTGCAACTCAGACAGAAAGGAGGCTAGAGCTGGCTGCGGTGACTCTGAGGAGAGGTGCGCGACCAAGGGCATCACGAGGCAGACCCCGCTCTTTGATAGATTACAGGTCTTACATAGACACCAAACTGCTAGTGGCCAGGTTCCTGGAGCAGTCCTCTTGCAGCATGACTCCGGACATCCATGAACTTGTAGAGAACATAAAATCCGTCCTGAAGTCTGATGAGGAGCACATGGAGGAAGCCATCACAAGCGCCAGTTTCCTAGAACAGGTACTGTTCTGATCAATATCAGGCGTGCATCCAATAACCGGTGTCTACGGTAGCTGAAGTCCATGATTACAGTCTTTAGGGACCTGGGGGTGGGGCTATGTCACCAGAGAGGAAACGACAGAGCTTTCCTTCTGAGCTTTGTCCCTTTCCCACAGTGTCTTGGCCAAGGGAACAGAACCCCACTTTCTGGAAGGTGGAGCCATCCCTTGTAGAAAGCAACAGATCTGGGCACTATGGAGTTCACCCCATTTATGATTTCCTCAGTGGGGGACAGCCCAGGATGTGGTGTTTTCTCCGCCCTTAAAGATGATGACAGACTCCCAAGATGGGCAAGGTTCGAGCAGCTGTTCCTGTGCCTATGCGTTTCTGGGCCAGACAAGTTATCTGACCGGACTTAGAGGAACAAATACCTTTTGTTCCATAGATTAGAAAGTAAAAGGCTCCTTAACTGAAGCCGCCCTGGGAAAAGACAAAACTAGGCATGGAATCCATTTGGGCCTTGGGTTTCCCGTCTTTAAAGGGAAGGGTTAGGTGGGGCAGTCTCCAGCCCTGTATCTTTAAGTAAGTGGAATTTTCTCCCAGCAAGAACCATCTCTTTACCCCTCTGGGAGCTGCTGTTACCGTTTGGCTATTTACTCATTCTTCTGGGTCAGTGGGGCAGATGCTGTGGACACAGTACACCACAATGCCCAGTGTTACCTGCTCTGTGCCTTTGCCCTCAGAGTGCCCAACAAATGTGTCTCATGCTGAGTTGGGCTGGTTCTCAGTGTAGTCACTACTTCACCATTCCAGGTGGATTTGAACACTTCACCTCTTCACTTTCCTTTCTGCTCCTCCTTTCCACTCTCTGGCCTCATCCATCAATCCATCCATCATCCATCCATCCATCCATCCATACATACATACCAAAATTTAAAGTCAGAGCCTCTCCCAGTCCCCAGGAGCCCATGGGAAAAGGATGATCTGATTAGTTAGAGGAGGAGATACTTGGCTTCCATACCCTCCTGCAGCTCGCTCTTCAAGAGTGGTCAGCCAGTGGCTCCGGGTCAGGCTGCCATCTCTGAGATGCTCCCACTGTCATTCCTGCCTCTTCCCCTTTGGCATTGTTTCTCGATGGCAGAAAGTCCACCAGGCGCTCTGGCATACAGGAAAAACAGGCTCTAGCAAGCTCCTGTTTAACGAATCTTTTGCCCCAGACCAGTTGGAAGTTCCAGTATGGAGGCTATTGTTACAGATTCTGGGTCATCAACTGAGGGCTTTTGCTTCTGAACCCCACATGGGGGTATCAGTGCCACACCCCGTCCCCAGTGAAAAGGAGGCAAGGACAATGCAAGAGTACATTTTATTTCCAACACCCCTCAGCTTTTCACACTTTCTTTAGATCCATTTTATTCACCCCCAGTTAAAAAATAACACTTGTCTTATTTTAGTCAAATTTGATGAAGAATACAGTCAATTGTCTTCTTAGTTAGGAGACAGGAACAAGCCTTATAGGTGAATATAATTAACAAGAGTTTTCTTGCTTTGGAAAACACCCCTGTCTGTTCTGAAGCACCTAAACATGAAAACTCACAGACAGACACAGGGGGCTGGGTCAGAAGGCCAGCCCTGGTGAGGCTAACTTCTTCCCTTCTCTTCTTTTTCCAAAGATAATGGCCCCACCACAGCCCAGCACTTCCCAGGCCCATGTGCTGACCTTGAGGAGACAGCCGGGCCTGCTGCACCTGCGCAGCTGTGGAGACCTGAGCACCTTTTCCCTGGCAGGAAGGCCTAGAGCTGAGCGGAGGCCCCAGCAGCGAGCTGAAGCTGAGAGGCCACACAGCCTCATAGGCGTCATTCGAGAGACTGTCCTGTGAACTGAGTGACAAGGAAAGCCAGTCCAAAGGAAGGATGTCCTTCCTCAGTGCTGTTTACTGTCTGGGAGCTGGGGGTGCCCCCTGGGAACCTGAAAACAGGGGTCCGCGGGAGAATACTTATTCCTGCTCTTTGGCCCCTGTTTTTGCTGACGAGGGCACTGAGGTGAACTCGGGTGAAGTAGGTCCCTTCCTGTCTGTGTGCTCCCAGTTGGAAGTGAAGGCAGGGAGCCTCTGTCTGCTGCATCTTGCAGCATCCCCATCAGGGCACGCACTGGGTGAGCCAAAAGCAGGCTCAAGAGTCTTTGCCTGCCTCACCCCTTATGGCTCTTGTTGTTGTCAGGTTCATTCCCTTGCTGTAAGGGGAGAGCTGCTGGGCTATTTATAGGTGCCTGCGGCCTCTGGCCGCTCCGTGAGAGGAGCTGGCAGGAGCCATGATGATTAACCCCATGTGACTGCAGTCCTCCAGCCTCCTCTGGGTTACCCTCCCATCCCGTCTTTAGGAAGGATAGGAGACCTGCTAAGCGGTGATTTTTCATGAAGGGCATTAAGGGGGAGGGCTATGGTTGATTCCGTTTATTCATGCTTGCAAGCTAGAATACTTAAGGGAGGAGAGAGAATAAAATGTTGGCTTTGGAATTCTGGGCTCCGTGTGGAGGATTTGTGTGCACTCCGTTGTACAGGCCTCAACCCAAAGAGCAGTGGTTCTCACCCTTCCTGATGCTGCGACCTCTTAAGACAGTTCCTCACGTTGTGCTGGTCCCCAACCATAACATTATTTTTGTTGCTGCTTCATAATTGTAATTTTGTTACGGTTACGAATCATAATGGAAAAAATATTTTTTTTTGGAGCTAGAGGTTTATCAGAGTTGCGACCCACAGGTTGAGAACCACTGTCTTAGGGGTTTGGAGTTTGGGGATGTGGTGTTCGGAGCACCCTAATGGCCACCACATGAGTTTCATTTCCACAGTACCTGAACATCACAGATAATAGTGCATTAGACAAGCCCTAGGATAGATTTTAGAAACGCTAGGCTGAGTGGCGCCGTGGACTTGCATTCTAGCGCGGTCCTGAACAAAAAATCAATAAAGCAATTACTGGTAGGATTAGTGCTAAAAAGTAAGAGGGGGGTTAGGGGGACATCTTTGAGGAAGTGATATTTGAGCTGGGTCATGACTTTGAGGATTAGGCATTCCTTTGCTTCAGGCAGACAGGAGGCCAAACCGACTAGTGACCACAGACGTGTTCCGAAGGATAGTTGGGTGGGAGCCCAGCAAGCCGCGTTCTATGCTAACAGTGAGATACGGCGGATGTTTCTAGCACAAGAAAGATAAGATTAATCATATTTTTAAAAGATCACCATGCTACTCGGGAAAGAGTTAATGTAGATAGGAAAGAAAGCAAGGGGCTGGACTAAGGCTGCCTGGGAGGTGCACACTGATTCTTATTGGGCCCCCTCAGTACTGTGATGAGGTTGTTATATTCTCATCTGATGCTCATGACAGCCTGTTGGGTGGGAGCTGCCACTGTCTCCATTCTATAGGACAATAATATTGTGTAACGTGTCCAAGGTCGCACAGAAGCCAAGGGGCAGAGCTGACATTCACACGAAGGTGGTTGAACTCAGCCACCTTTCCCTGTCTCCACTTCCCAGGGAGCAGTATTGGTGTGTCCCCTTTCTGTAAGGACGTTGTCGAGCTTCCCGCTTGGCTCATGGGACTCTCACCCCCTGCCTCCACATCTGCCCCTCGTGCCAGAGTGAGAAGTGGAGTGAGCCCCAGGGTCACTGAACTGCGGTGGGAAGCGGGCTGTGGAAGCATCTAGAAATGAAGGAGAAATGAAGGGCCATGGCAAGGCTGGGTTTGGCTGACTGTGCCCGAGTGAGCCACCCGAGTGGAGAGTAGCAGTGACTTCTCAGAGGGCAATTTCTGTTCTTACCACCTCTACCCCATCCCGAGAGAGGCACACATCTTCTGGCTTCTCCAGAAGTCCTCTTTGTCACGCGGTAGCTTGTCACCTGAGGCTGGTCTGCTGCCCACCGTCAAGCTCCTGTCTTTCTTGTGAGTCTCTGCAGCAGGGGATCTCTGGCATGACTGCTGATGGCTTGCTCACAGGACAGACTGTCCATGCGGCTGAGTGTTGCCACTTCCCTGAGCATCCACCTTGCGCGCACACACCCTCTGCCCAGCCCCCACTCCACTTTCCTCTCTAGCTGCTCCTCCTTCCAACTCCTTTTTTGAGTCCTTTGCTGGTTGCCTCTGACGACCACCACTAGGCTCACAGAAGGCCTCAGAGGCTCAGAGGCACAGAAGGCTCTAGAGCCAGCTAGATGTCAGGAGCGAGAGCCTTTCAGGCATGGTATGAAGATTCTCCTGGCCATCTGTAGCAGCTCTTTTTTTTGGCGGGGGAGCACCAACCAGCTCCCAAATCATTGACATGGGGACTTCTTATTAGTTATTAATGCTCAACCTTATCGTATGCTTGTCCCGCTAGCTCTTATAACTAACTTGTTTTTCTTCACCTACATTTTGCCTTAGGGCTTTTTACTTTTCTTCCTTTCTGTATATTTTACTTTCACGGCTTCTCATGGCTGGCTATCTGTTGGCTGTCTGGCTTTTCTGGTCCTGGGCATATCTGCCTTTCTACCCCATCCTCTTCTCTTGTTTCTCCTTTGAGCCTATATTTCTCCTCCTACTTATTTCCTCTGCCTGTCAGCCCTGCCTATCCCTCTCCTGCCTAGCTACTGAATGGTGGGCTTTTTATTAGACCAATCAGGGGCCTTAGGCAGGCAAGGTGAAACAAATGTGACCCATCTTTACATAATTAAACAAATGCAGCACAAACAAATGTAACACACCCTCACACAGTTAAAGTCATATTCCGCAACATAAACAAATGTAACACATCTTTACATAGTTACATATTCCACCACAGCCGTCCTGAGGACAGGTGGTTGCTAGCTGCAAGCCAAGGGGGCAAGACATGAAGCCTGAGAGCAGCCAGGCAGAAGGTTGCTTCAGTTTATCAGAATACCCACTTCAGCCAAAACATCTCACAGAATTCTAGAACCTGAAGCTGTGGGAGAAGACTTCATTCTCTTCCTTGAACACTACCCTTTCTGTAATATTGCAATTATTGATGAGGCTACAATAGTTTATGAATTTTTATCTCGGGGTTACTTAGAAGTAATACCATTAATTTCCCTGCTTTGTGTGTGTGTGTATGTAAATACTCTCAAATACTGAAGTTTTAACAACGTGCATATGTGCTCATGTGTTAACTGAATGTGTATAGGGTAGGCTGTTCAGCATTAAAGAGATCCAGGAGTAGGGACAAAAGATTTCAAATGTGACATCAGAATGATACCAGAGCTGTGATCACTGAGCATAGAAATATCAAAGGCGTCATTAGTGAAGTAAATGCCATTCAGGATATCTGGCTGGCTACAACACTGTACATCATGGTTGGCTCTGCTTCCGTGAGTAAGAACACCGTGCCCACTTTGTGAGATTGGCACAGGATAAACCGGAACAGGGGTTGCTCTTTCAGAATGTTCCGGCAAGCTTTTGTCTTGGTGTCTGAGGCCAGAGAGGAGGACTTTGCCAAGCTTTTGCGCTTCACTAGGACGAGCTCAGGCCTGTCCAGCTGGCCGTTGCCCGAAGGCTTGTTTCCTGCCTGGTGAAGTCTCGGGGAGGAGGCTCTGAATTTCAGCTGCCTGCTTGCTTTCCTTTACCAGAGGAACCAGACATTTGCTGAAGGCCTAACTGGTGGAATCTGCTTGCTCTCTCCGCTCAATTGGCAAGTGGGGAAACTGAGGCACAGTATTAATTGTGCAGCAGAGGTGAGAGCCCAGCACTTCCCACTTTGGGACCAGAGATTTTGGTTTAGGACATAGCGGCTCATTTTGGAATAAAAGAACAGCTCCTTTCCCCACATCTGCCATGGACTAAAAACTTTTGTAAATGATGGTAAACTGGCTTAACAGAAAGATAAAGGAACAGCAATAAAAAAAGGCATGTATAGCGTAGCCCCTTTCTCATTAAAGAGGTTTATTTTTTCAAGTATGTCTAGGGTCACTGGAAATTGAGTGGAACAAATAGAGTCTTCACTGTCCTCCGTCCATCATAGGCATAGCTACCCTTATTGTCACCGTCCCCCACCTAATGGCACATAAATCACAATGGACCCATACTTCCCACCCAAGTCCATGTATGTGGGGACTGAATGATGTCCAGAGGAAGGGCGCATTATTGTCATGTCAAGGACCCCAGTGCCTCAGACCCATGGAAACAGCAAAGCCTTCCCTGGGTGAGGAGCAGAGGGATGAAAAGCCTTCCCTGGTCTAAATCCGGGTGTTGTGAATGACTGTTGGCTAAAGCCAGTGTGTGCAGAAACTGAAAACCGTGGCGTCTTCCTCCAGAACAAACCTGAGAATGCTCTCCTAAGAGAATGCCTGCCATGATGAACTAGCCTGCCTCTGTATGTGTGTATAATAAACCTTCCTCCTTGTTCAGCTGTATATCACGAGCTCCCCTCCTCCATGGTATACAATAAGAGCTGAGTCTCTGGGCTGCTGCTGTGTCTCCATGGGAGAGCTCAGCACACCCTATCTCAGCCTTTCTAGGTGTGTGTCTGTGGTTTCTTCATTCTATAAGCCATGCGGTCAAGGCAGAGGTGTCCATGAGTTTATTTTTTGTCTGTATCTTAAGGGTACAGACAGCTGTGTGCCTTGTATCTGCCAGTATAGTACCACACCTAGTGGTCTGTCCGAAAACCCTCTTTATTCCAAGTATTCATTCCTTTCACCCGTAACTCCCCAAAGACACAATCTTTTGCTGTCTCCATAATTTTGGCCTTTCTGGAACGCCATACAATTCCTGTGTTAACATTTCCTGAGGTGACAGGAGCAAGCCAGTCTGGTCACCTCAGATAAGGTACCAACAAAGGACCAAAGTTAGGATTCTACTCAAATCCAGTATGGTAAACCAAAAAATTAATTTACAAGAACCTGGGTACCCTTAACCATTAATGCTTAGTCTCACCCCATTATAGACGATGACCTCCTAGAGGCTGCACCCTGGGGTCTCCTTCAGTTAACCCCCCAGTTCAGGTCTGGCATTGAGTTGTCGGTCACCGTATTGTTTTTCTTATTTAGTTGCAGTGGTTAATGGCTTCCAGCTAAGGTAGCCTTCTCTAGTACGGCGACGGGATGACCATGTTATGCTCAAAGAAGCCAGGACTCAAGCGGTTGTTTAGCTGAAGTTGTAGGGCAAAAGCCCCTGAGTCTAGCAGTCCCTACAGGGCAAGCTCAGACATCCATCCCGACACACCAGTTATAGAAACAAGAAGTGATGAAAGCAGAGGGCGGTGTCCATTGGGGAGGTCGGAAGATAAGCGGTTGGGTGACCCCAAATTGGCCTTGGGGTATTGATGTGAATTTCGGTTCAAGCTGAGGATGAACTGTGGCAGGAAGCAAGAGGTTTGCCTATCTCAGCAGTCTTAGACAGGGTTTGGCCTGTCACCTCTCAGCTTCTGACCTTCAAGGGATTCCAAAGTTGTCCATCGAGGCTGTTGTCAGAGGGCCCAGTCTGGTTCTGCTAAGGCGATCTGTGTCCTTGCCCTCCTCTTGTGCGTGCTC